TTCCATGCATATGGAAAGCAAAAGAAAGCTGGAGTAGCTATACTTACATCTGACAAAATAAACTTTAAAACAAAGACTGTAGTAAGAGACAAAGAGGAGTATTACATAATAATAAAGGGGTCCATCCAACAAGAGGACATAACATTTATGAATATTTATGCACCCAACATGCAAGCATCCAAATATATAAAGCAGATATTAAAAAGCCCAAAAGGAAAAGTAGACAGAAATCCAATAATAGTAGGGGACTTTTATACTGCATGTACATTGATGGGTAAATCAACCAGATAGAGGGAAAGAAAACTTCCAGACTCATTCTATGAAGCCAGTATTCCTTTGATTCCTAAACCAGACAGAGACCCAGTAAAAAAAGAGAACTACAGGCCAATATCCCTGATGAATATGGATGCCAAAATTCTCAATAAGATACTAGCAAATCGAATTCAACGGCATATAAAAAGAATTATTCACCATGATCAAGTGGGATTCATTCCTGGGATGCAGGGCTGGTTCAACATTCACAAATCAATCAACGTGATACATCACATTAACAACAAAAAAGAGAAAAACCATATGATCCTGTCAATCGATGCAGAAAAGGCCTTTGACAAAATCCAGCACCCTTTCTTAATAAAAACCCTTGAGAAAGTCGGGATAGAAGGAACATACTTAAAGATCATAAAAGCCATTTATGAAAAGCCCACAGCTAACATCATCCCCAACGGGGAAAAACTGAGAGTTTTTTCCCTGAGATCAGGAACACGACAGGGATGCCCACTCTCACCGCTGTTGTTTAACATAGTGCTGGAAGTTCTAGCATCAGCAATCAGACAACAAAAGGAAATCAAAGGCATCAAAATTGGCAAAGATGAAGTCAAGCTTTCGCTTTTTGCAGATGACATGATATTATACATGGAAAATCCGACAGACTCCACCAAAAGTCTGCTAGAACTGATACATGAATTCAGCAAAGTTGCAGGATACAAAATCAATGTACAGAAATCAGTTGCATTCTTATACACTAACAATGAAGTAACAGAAAGACAAATAAGGAAACTGATCCCATTCACAATTGCACCAAGAAGCATAAAATACCTAGGAATAAATCTAACCAAAGATGTAAAGGATCTGTATGCTGAAAACTACAGAAAGCTTATGAAGGTAATTGAAGAAGATTTAAAGAAATGGAAAGACATTCCCTGCTCATGGATTGGAAGAATAAATATTGTCAAAATGTCAATACTACCCAAAGCTATCTACACATTCAATGCAATCCCAATCAAAACTGCACCAGCATTCTTCTCGAAACTAGAACAAGCAATCCTAAAATTCATATGGAACCACAAAAGGCCCCGAATAGCCAAAGTAATTTTGAAGAAGAAGACCAAAGCAGGAGGCATCACAATCCCAGACTTTAGCCTCTACTACAAAGCTGTCATCATCAAGACAGCATGGTATTGGCACAAAAACAGACACATAGACCAATGGAATAGAATAGAAACCCCAGAACTAGACCCACAAATGTATGGCCAACTAATCTTTGACAAAGCAGGAAAGAACATCCAATGGAAAAAAGACAGTCTCTTTAACAAATGGTGCTGGGAGAACTGGACAGCAACATGCAGAAGGTTGAAACTAGACCACTTTCTCACACCATTCACAAAAATAAACTCAAAATGGATAAAGGACCTGAATGTGAGACAGGAAACCATCAAAACCCTAGAGGAGAAAGCAGGAAAAGACCTCTCTGACCTCAGCCGTAGCAATCTCTTACTCGACACATCCCCAAAGGCAAGGGAATTAAAAGCAAAAGTGAATTACTGGGACCTTATGAAGATAAAAAGCTTCTGCACAGCAAAGGAAACAACCAACAAAACTAAAAGGCAACCAACGGAATGGGAAAAGATATTTGCAAATGACATATCGGACAAAGGGCTAGTATCCAAAATCTATAAAGAGCTCACCAAACTCCACACCCGAAAAGCAAATAACCCAGTGAAGAAATGGGCAGAAAACATGAATAGACACTTCTCTAAAGAAGACATCCGGATGGCCAACAGGCACATGAAAAGATGTTCAGCGTCGCTCCTTATCAGGGAAATACAAATCAAAACCACACTCAGGTATCACCTCACGCCAGTCAGAGTGGCCAAAATGAACAAATCAGGAGACTATAGATGCTGGAGAGGATGTGGAGAAACGGGAACCCTCTTGCACTGTTGGTGGGAATGCAAATTGGTGCAGCCACTCTGAAAAGCAGTGTGGAGGTTCCTCAGAAAATTAAAAATAGACCTACCCTATGACCCAGCAATAGCACTGCTGGGAATTTATCCAAGGGACACAGGAGTACTGATGCATAGGGGCACTTGTACCCCAATGTTCATAGCAGCACTCTCAACAATAGCCAAATTATGGAAAGAGCCTAAATGTCCATCAACTGATGAATGGATAAAGAAATTGTGGTTTATATACACTATGGAATACTACGTGGCAATGAGAGAAAATGAAATATGGCCTTTTGTAGCAACGTGGAGGGAACTGGAGAGTGTGATGCTAAGTGAAATAAGCCATACAGAGAAAGACAGATACCATATGGTTTCACTCTTATGTGGATCCTGAGAAACTTAACAGGAACCCATGGGGGAGGGGAAGGAAAAAAAAAAAAGAGGTTAGAGTGGGAGAGAGCCAAAGCATAAGAGACTGTTGAGAACTGAGAACAAACTGAGGGTTTATGGGGGGTCGGAGGGAGGGGAGGGTGGGTGATGGGTATTGGGGAGGGCACCTTTTGGGATGAGCACTGGGTGTTCTATGGAAACCAATTTGACAATAAATTTCATATATAAATACAAAAACAATACCTTCAAACAAAAGTTCAGGACCAGACAATTTCACTTGCAAATTCCACCAAACATTTAAAGAGGAATTAGTACCGATCTTTCTCAAACTCTTGTAAAAAATATAAGATGAGGGCTCTTCCAAACACATTTTTTAAAATTTTTTTCTAAACTCATTTTTGAAAGCCACCATTATCCTGAAAACAAATCCAGACAAAAATGATACAAGATAAGAAAATTAGAGGCCAACATTCCTGACAAACATAGATACAAAAATCCTCAACAAAACATTAGCAAACTAAGTTCAATAATCTCTTAAAAGGATCATACGTTGTGATCAAATGGGATTTATTCTAGGGATGCCAGGATGGTGAACATCAGAAAATAAATGTAATACTACAGCACAGTAACAAGATGAAGAATAAGAATCCTATGATCATCTAAATAGATACAGAAAAAGCATTTGACAAAATTCAACAAGCATTTACCATGAAAAAAAACTCTCAACAAAATTAATTTAGAGGGAATATACCTTAACATAATGAAGGCCATATATGACAAACGCATAGCTAACAACATCATCATTGGTAAGAAGCTGAAAGCTTTCCCTATAAGGTCAGGAACAAGACAAAGATGCTGATTCTTGTCACTTTCATCAGCATTATGCTGGAAGTCTCAGAGCAATTAGGCAAGAAAAAGAAATACAAGTCATCCAAACTGGAAAGGTAGAATTAAAAATGTCACTATTTGCAGATGACATGATGTTATATTTAGAAACCCTAAGAACTATCAAAAACTGTTAGATATAAGGAATCAGTAAAACTGCAGGGTATAAAATCAATATAAAAAATCAGTTGCATTTATATATACTAATAATAAACTCTCATAAAGAGAAGTTAAGAAAACAATCCCATTTCCAATGCATCACAAAGAATAAAATGCCTAGGAATAAATTTAATGAAGGAAGTAAAGAACCTGTACTCTGAAAACTATAAGAACTTGGTGAAGCAAATTGAAGAAAACACAAATAAATGGAAAAAACATTCTGTATTCATAGACTAGAAGAATTAATGTTTTTATAATGTCCATACTACCCATAATGATCTACAGATTCAATGCAATCCCAATCAAAATTCCAATGGCATTTTTCACAAATAAAAAATCCTACAATTTGTATGGAACCACAAAAGATCCCAAATAGCCAAAGAAATCTTGGCAAAGTAAAACAAACCTGGAGGCCTACTTCCCGATTTCAAACTATATTACAAACCTACAGTAATCAAAACAGTATGATATTGTCATAAAATCAGATGCATGGATTGATAGAATAGAATGGAGAACCCAGAAATAAACTCATGCATATATGATCAATTTATTAATGACAAATGAATCAAGAATATTCAATGGGGGAAAGGATAGTCTCTTCATTAAATGGTGCTGAGAAAACTGGATAGCCATACACAACATGATGAATCTGGACCATTATTTTAAGCCATACAGAGAAACTAACTTGAAAGAGTTTAAAGAGGGGCGCCTGGGTGGCACAGTCGGTTAAGCGTCCGACTTCAGCCAGGTCAAGATCTCACGGTCCGTGAGTTTGAGCCCCGCGTCGGGCTCTGGGCTGATGGCTCAGAGCCTGGAGCCTGTTTCCATTTCTGTGTCTCCCTCTCTCTCTGCCCCTCCCCTGTTCATGCTCTGTCTCTCTCTGTCCCAAAAATAAATAAACGTTGAAAAAGAATTTTTTTTAAAGAAAGAGTTTAAAGATTTGAAAGTAAACATCAAACTCCTAGAGGAAACTATAGGCATTAGGCTCCTTGACATGTGTCTTGGAGATGATTTTTTTAGATTTGTCACCAAAGCAAAGACAATAAAAAACAAACAAGTGGGACATTAAACTTAAAAACTTCTGCACAGCAAAGGACACCATCAATAAAATGAAAAGGCAACCTACTGAGTGGGGAAAAAATATGTGCAAAATCTATGGAATTTATATTAAAAAGGTGAATTTTATGGCTATATCAATTACATCTAAATAAAGAATTTAATCAAAAAATAAAAAAAAAAACAGGAATAGTTTATTGGCAGTGTTTCTCCTTCAGATTCCTCTCTCCTAGCCCTTCTGAAGAACTGAGCTCTGGAGATGTGTCAAGTAAGGAATTGCTGCAGCTGAGGTCAGAGAGGATTTTTTCCTGCTTTCTCCTCCAGGGTTTTGATGGTTTCCTGTCTCACATTCAGGTCCTTCATCCATTTTGAGTTTATTTTTGTGAATGGTGTCAGAAAGTGGTCTAGTTTCATTATTATGCATGTTGCTGTCCAGTTCTCCCAGCACCATTTGTTAGAGACTGTCTTGTTTCCACTGGATATTCTTCCCTGCTTTGTCAAAGATTAGTTGGACGTACTTTTGTGGGTCCAGTTTTGGAGTCTCTATTCTATCCCACTGGTCTATGTGTCTGTTTTTGTGCCAATACCATGCTGTCTGGATGATTACAACTTTGTAGTAGAGGCTAAAGTCTGGGATTGTTATGCCTCCTGCTTTGGTCTACTTCTTCAATATTATTTTGGCTATTTGAGGTCTTTTGTGGTTCCATACAAATTTTAGGATTGCTTGTTCTAGCTTCGAGAAGAATGCTGGTGCAATTTTCATTGGGATTGCATTGAATGTGTAGATAGCTTTGGTAGTATTGATATTTTAACAACATTTTTTCTTCCAATCCATGAGCACAAAATGTTTTTCCATTTCTTTGTATCTTCTTCAATTTCCTTCATAAGCTTTCTATAGTTTTAAGTATACAGATCTTTTACATCTTTGGTTAGGTTTATTACTAGGAATTTTATGCTTCTTGGTGCAATTGTGAATGGGATCAGTTTCTTTTTCTGTTGCTTCATTATTAGTGTATAGGAATGCAACTGATTTCTGTACATTGATTTTGTATCCTGCAACTTTGCTGAATTCATGTATCAGTTCTAGCAGACTTTTGGTGGAGTCTGCCAGGTTTTCCGTGTGTAATATCATGTCATCTGCAAAAAGTGAAAGCTTGACTTCATCTTTGCCAATTTTGATGCCTTTGATTTCCCTTTGTTGTCTGATTGCCGATGCTAGCACTTCCAACACTATGTTAAACAACAACAGTGAGAGTGGACATCCCTGTCATGTTCCTGATCTCAGGGGGAAGTCTCTCGTTTTTCCCCATTGAGGATGATATTAGCTGTGAGCTTTTCATAAATGGCTTTTATGACATTTAAGTATGTTCCTTCTATCTCGACTTTCTGGAGGGTTTTTATTAAGAAATGATGCTGAATTTTGTCAAATGCTTTTTCTGCATCGATTGACAGGATCATATGTTTCTTTTCTTTTCTTTTATTAATGTGATGGATCACACTGACTGATTTGTGAATACTGAACCAGCCCTGCAGCCCAGGAATGAATCCCATTTGATCATGGTGAATAATTCTTTTTATATGCTGTTGAATTCAATTTGCTAGTATCTTATTGAGAATTTTTGCATCCATATTCATGAGGGACTATTTGGACCTCATGAAGATAAAAAGCTTCTGCACTGCAAAGGAAACAATCAACAAAACTAAAAGGCAACCAATGGAATGAGAAAAGATATTTGAAAATGACACATTGGATACAGGGCTACTATCCAAAATCTATAAAGAACTCACCAAACTACACACCTGAAAAACAAATAATCCAGGGAAGAAATAGGCAGAAGACATGAATAGACACTTCTTTAAAGAAGACATCCAGATGGCCAACAGGCACATGAAAAGATGCTCAATGTCACTCCTCATCAGGGAAATGCAAATCAAAACCACACTGAGCTATCACCTCATGCCAGTCAGAGTGGCTAAAATGAACAAATCAGGAGACTACAGATGCTGGCAAGGATGTGGAGAAACCGGACCCTCTTGCACTGTTGGTGGGAATGCCAACTGGTGCAGCTGCCAGTTTGGAAAACAGTGTGGAGTTTCCTCAGAAAATTAAAAATAGACCTACCCTATGACCCAGCAATAGCACTGCTAGGAATTTACCCAAGGGATACAGGAGTGCTGATGCATAGGGGCAAATGCACCCCAACGTTTATAGCAGCACTTTCAACAATAGCCAAATTATGGAAAGAGTCTAAATGTCTATCAACTGATGAATGGATAAAGAAGTTGTGGTTTATATATACAGTGAAATACTACTTGGCAATGAGAAAGAATGAAATATGGCCTTTTGTAGCAACATGGATGGAACTGGAGACTGTTATGCTAAGTGAAATAAGTCATACAGAGAAAGACATATACCATATATTTTCACTCCTGTGTGGATCCTGAGAAACTTAACAGAAGACCATGGGGGAGGGGAAGGGGAAAAAAGTTACAGAGAGGGAAGGAGGCAAACCATAAGAGACTCTTAAAAACTGAGAATAAACTGAGGGTTGATGGGGGAGTGATGTGAGGGAGGGGAAAGTGGGTGATAGGCATTAAAGAAGGCACATGTTGGGATGAGCACTGGATGTTTATGGAAACCAATTTAACAATAAATTTCATATTTTAAAAAAATGAAGAACTGAACTCTGTAGAGTTAAATTGATATAGGTGTTCAGTTAATAGAACTGTCCTCTATCTTTTCTATGACTCTCTTTGACACTGGATCTTTAATGGTAAGATCATTGGCTTTAATGTAATGATCACTGACTATGACTTTTGTGGCAATAAAATGTATTTCTTTCTACTTAAGTATAATACTCCTAAAAGTACACCAAGCAAAAATATTTCTATTCTTCCCTTAGTGAAAATCTTTCTCTATTTCAATATGTGAATCCTTGCTTTAAGCCAAAGTAATGAACTTTTCTCTTTAGAAATTACAGACTGGTTCCAACTGTCTTTGGAGGAGCATTATCCTTAAGAGAGGCACCATGGTATACTGGAGGAACACTGGATTGGGAGTTAGTCCTGGGTGTTTGACTACATTCCTGCTCTGTCTGTGTGAGGCTCTTAACTTGTTAAAGCTTTAGTTTCTTTTCACGTAAAATAAAGAGAGTAACACCAGACTTACCAAATTCATAGAATTAGTGGGAGGATCAAATGGGACAAACAATATTATCCTATTTGTAAAATGCTATTGAAATATAGTATGGTATTTTTTTGCCTCCACATTGGATGCCCTGGAAAGCTGTTGGGGAATACAGAACAAAAAGATGTCATGGCTACTGTTGCCTCTTTATTCCATCTTAATATCCCCCCAGCTAATCTGCAGTCACTGAGGAGTCACATTAACATGGAACTTATATAATTCATAAACCGCTACAGCAGCCTGGAAAGGCTTTAATCAGTTGCTTTCACTCTTAATTATTTTAAAACCTCAATAATGGTCAAATGAGCTGCATGGCAGTTTAATTAATTTGCATTAAGCCCGAAGGTCCTGAAAGAGTGGTGAGTTTATGAACATGATGACTAAAGTCTCGGCAGGAGCATGTCAAGCCTGAATGGGTATCTGGGCTGGTTCCCATGGGATTTTCCCAAGTCAAGCTGTGTGTGTGTGTGTGTGTGTGTGTGTGTGTGTGTGTGTGTGTGTTGCATTCACAAGATTTCCATCTCTGTTTATTACATTAGAATCAGTTTTGAAGCCTCTGAAAATGAGCTCACTTGCTAAAGAAAAGCTTTGGACTTGTCTATAATTCTAATTGCCTATGTTCTCCTTGCTCCAGTTTCTGTGTTTAATAGAGAGCTGGCTGCATGTTATTTTTATTTCTGTGGAGGAGAATTGGTGCTTCTTACTCCCTGCCCATCATACTGATTTGTAATTAGCATATTTCATCACAAAAATCCCAGTGGGTGATGATGGCATTCCTGAACTGTTTCAACTTGAGCCATATGGTACCCCACATTGGCCCTGCTCTGAGCGGTGGCTGCTCATTCCCCACCTGGGAGGCTTCCCTTTCAGGCAGGGCTCTGGGAAGGATTTATTACTAACATTACTGTCTCTCTCGGTTTGGACTTATAACCCATCTCATCACGACACATTTATGCCCAAATGGTCAGAGGGCAAAGAGGAAGAAAGGGAAAGTGAGTAAGTAGAGCCATTCATCTGGCTCATTGTACTGGTCTTCTGTTTTCCATCACACACAGCCATGCTGTCTGTGATATTTTGCAATGGCAGTGCTAGAAAATGAGTTTAGAAGAGTAGGAATATACCACTTATCTCCCGGGTTGTGAATATATAATGATATGCTATGTGTGAAGCAGGTACAACAGAATCTGGCACATAGGAAAGAAGGTGGTTGTTTATTGAACATTTCCTATTTCAATGCAAGTCCTCTTGCAGAGATGAGTTTTCAACTTGGTGTGTGCTCAAGGCATCTTGAGTGGTGCCATTCCATAGAACTTTCTGTACTGAAATATGATAGAACACTGTTCAATGTGGTAGCCACCAGCCACATGTGACTACTGAGCACTTGGTATGTGATTAGTGAGACTGAGAAATGTAATTAAAAAAAAAATTTTTTTTTTCAACGTTTGTTTATTTTTGGGACAGAGAGAGACAGAGCATGAATGGGGGAGGGGCAGAGAGAGAGGGAGACACAGAATCGGAAACAGGCTCCAGGCTCTGAGCCATCAGCCCAGAGCCTGACGCGGGGCTCGAACTCACGGACCGTGAGATCGTGACCTGGCTGAAGTCGGACGCT